TCTATCTAGGATTCCCCAATAAGATACAAGTTTTATAGGTTTCAGGAATTAGCATTTCTATCTAGGATTCCCCAATAAGATACAAGTTTTATAGGATTCAGGAATTAGCAAATCTATCCAGGATTCCCCAATAAGAAACTTCCCAAATGCAGCGATGTCCCCCTATTCTAATGAATCCTGGATGAGATCAGAGCTCAGTTTACACAAGATGTTCTGGACAGAAGGCTTCACCCAAGGCTGAGCTCGGGTTTAAGCTTCACCCAAGGCTGAGCTCGGGTTTAAGATAGCACAGGGTACACTGGCTCCTTCCTCAGGATGTTTGGTCTCTCTGCCCAGCAGAACTCCTAAACCAAGCTGGAATATCAGGCTCCAGGAATTACAAAAATGTGGACTAAGGGGTACAGGCGAATGCATAGAGGGTACAGAAAGCGTAAAAAGGAAAAGCAAAAATCATCAGGCATCAGAGGGACCTGCAGAGATGGGGAAAAGCCTCTTGGTGATGTGAGTGAGGGAAGGACAGGGCACAGAATGGACAGGGAAGACAATTAGACTGGTGAAGAAATGCAGGGGTTGAGGAGCTGGGCTTACTGAGCATCATTTCTCACTCACAGGAACGGAGTTGCCAAAGTGAATATCTTTTTTGAGGAGTGGAACTACAAGACCAACGGGGAGTCTCCAGCCTTCACGGTACACACTTTACTCTGTGTCTTTGCTGGCCACCCATTCCCTGACTGTGGCACCCTCCTGGTGCCTCTGCCCCAGCAGCATTGCTGGATATTCCTCCTGGGGCAGGGTGAGGGGAATCAAGGGAGGCAAAAATCCCAAATCAGGGCTGTCCTCACTGCTCCTTCTGCGTCTCCTGCAGGTGGTGACTCTGCTGTCCCAGCTTGGGAACCAGTGGAGCCTCTGGTTTGGCTCCTCTGTCCTGTCAGTGATGGAGCTGGCCGAGCTGGTTCTGGATTTCATCGCCATCACTTTTATCCTGACGTTCCGCTGGTGCCGCTCCCGGCAGAAGCTCTCTGCCCCCRGAGCCCCTCCAAACACTCAGGATAATTCTGCTTTCCAGGATGAGCCCCCAGCCCTCAGTGCCCCCCATCGCTTCACTGTGGAGGCTGTGGTGACCACGCTGCCACCCTACAACAGCCTGGAGCCACGGGGGCTGAGCAGGGACAGCGAGGGGGGACACGAGTGAGGCACAGCTCAATCCTCTGATCARCTGGAGCAAAGGCTGCACACTTTGTCTGTGTGTCCTTCCTTCCTTCTGGGGTGCTGCACATGGACCGTAGCAAAACACTGCTCCATGGTTGGCCTGGGTTCATTGCTTTCACTTCTGTAGGTGAATTCTTCAGTCTCATCAAATAATTCTGCTCTGGGGGTGACCAGGTTTTGGATGCCCTGACGCACCCACACATCCCCGGAGCAGGAAAGACACACGAGGCAGGCAGGCAGGTCCAGGTTCTTCTTTATTAGTCTTCTCTTCCAGCTCTTTTTGCTATAGTGAAATCAGCTCTTTCTTCTTAGTGAAATCAGCTCAGCTCCCCCTAACACCAGCAACTAGCACGCTTTATATATACTTTTCTTATCTCCCGGGTTCAGGGAACAAACCAATTATMCAGGTCCCAGCTAGATGACACAGCTGGGCACTCTCCAATCTCTATGTAGCATGTTTTTGTCTTYAATTGGTAGAATACTTTCATTTATCCAATCCCATGGCTGRTTGCGTCAGCCCAGCTCGAGTCTGCGCTGTTTTGACCATGTCTGAGTCCAGGCTGTTTTCCAGCCCAACCTCCACACATAGCTCTAAAATAGCAAAGGCCACGGCAACCAGGGATGAGAGTTGATCTGATGTATGTATGGGGAAGATGTCCTCTCGATTTCCTTMCACTCTGCACCTACGTGTGCTTGCTTTTCCCTCTGACAAGGATGCTGCCACAGCTCTGGTGTGTCATTAAATAAAGAGGTTTGGCAGGTGGGACTGGCCTCCTCTGTGGTGTGACAAACAGCAACAGAGTCTCACTTGGCTRCAAATCTCTCCACAGCCTGAGCTTTGTTAAGCTTTGCCTAAAGTGATTGTCCTTTCCTCGTTCTTCTTGTCCAGCTCTGATCCCAAGGCTGTGTCACTCACCCTCTGTTCCCCCGTGAGGAGAGGCCACTTGAGACAAGAGCCACTGGCACCACCTCAATCTGTGTTATCACAATGCTCTGGAGAGGTGCTTTTCATTGCTGCCACTCCCAAATCTGGGACAAAACAGCCCTGGCACAGTGAAGGCTCCCTTTTCCAGCTGCCTTTGTGGCATTGGTGGTTTTTGGGTATTTCCCTTTCCTTGGGATGTGCCATAAATGTGTACACCCAGCTATTTGTTTGCCAACAAATTGATCTCTACATTTGCCTGGCTTTGCTTGGTTTCTTCATCAGGAAACAGAGAGAGTTTGTCAGGATGATGCCAACCCTCCAAAAATCCCAAATGGTGCCTGTGCTGCCGTGGGATGGTGCAAGAGAGGATCTGAACAGTGCAGCTCATGCAGTGCCTGTTGTGCTCCACTCCTCCCTTATCTGTCCACCCACAGACTCTGCTGAGCRTTTCTTCCTCAGGGAAACACAGGAAACAACTGCAGGTTTAGTCAAAACTCCTTCCAAGGAAAGCCTCATTTTATTCAATTAAAACAGACAGAAGTGATCCCCTTCTCAGGAATTAATGTAGGGATAATCAAAAATCACATTTCTCACAGTGAGCTTGCCTTACTCTTTTCCTACAAACACTCAGTTCTGCTGCAATGCTGTTTGTGTGCACATTGTGAGTATCAGGAGAGCAAGGGTGATGTCCTTTACAAACAGGATTATCCACCTCACAGCACAAACACTGATACCAGAACACAAGCAGCTTGGGCAGAGACCTGTGGTACCCTGTACCAAATCACAGCCACTTTTCAATTTAAAAACCAGTTAATCATAATGAAAGGAAAACTTCAGTTATTTTAAAAATTAAGGTAGATTTTAAAAATTAAGGCAGATTTTAAAAATTAAGGCAGATTTTTAAAAATTAAGGCTTACTGCAGTATCTAAACTGTCACCTAATTTTTCCTTTGGAGACCCTAAACCCATGCTGGTTGTACTGCTCTTGCCTTGATTACCTAAATACCCTTAGCAGTTCCCAGCAGAGAGAGATGCTGTTCTTCTTCACATGCACAAGTGCTTCTTTAGTGCACAAATAAAATGTTCTCTGTTGCACAAATAAAATGTTCTTTATTGCACAAATATTCACAGTTTTTCAAATTGTCGCTCCTCATCCCCGCTGCGCTCCCGGCGCTGCCGGCGGGTGTCCCCCTTCTCCCGCAAATCCCGGCAATCCCAGGGATTTCCACCCTAATTTCCAGCCCAATAAACCCAAACGAGTCCCCGGCAGTCGGCAGCAGCGTTCTGATCTTTGTTTCCCGCAGAATCCATCCCATCCCGCCCGCCTCCAGCGTCATTCCATCAGGGAAAGTCATTTCCAGGGATGGATTCGGCTTGGCTTGATCTCAGCACAGATTAAACCCCTTTAATTAACTCCTCCAGGGGTATTAGAGGGCTCAGTGACTCGGTGGTTTCAGTGATTTCCGTGCTGGAGGAGGCAGAAAAAGCTTGGAGAGAAATGCATTTAAAGGGAATCTGCTCCATCCYCTCCACAGCTTCTGGGAGAGCTCTAAAAAAACCCTTCAGATCTCCAAMAAGAAATTAAAAGACTCAAGCAGAGCGAGAGCATCAGCTTTCTTCGAGGTCACTGCAATAGCAGTGAATTAGTGGAATTATACACCGGAATACTCCAGGAAAAAGAGATTAAATAAAAATTACTTGAAAAGATAAGAAACTCCAATCCTCTGCCCCCTCTAACCCTCACGAAACAGGAGAAAACGAGCAGTTGGTAATGAAGAGATTGTGAAATGACCCTTCTTTGCCTKTCTCCCGGGTAAAAAGCAGAGAAGGAGCTGTTGTTAAAGGTAAAATAAAACAGAGTGTGGGGATAAAAGCTGTGAATTTGCTCAGTAAATCCATTTTGAAGGCAGGAGCTGGTTCTGGGAAAGATCCCAGTGTGGTACAGACGAGCTGGAGCTGTGGGCTCAGCTCTCTGCACTTCCCCACCGAGCTGTGGGAACAGATTTCCTAATGATGGGAAATAATTATCAGCATCCCTTCTTTAGGCAGCCCAGAGAGGTTCAGTGTGCTGGGGAAGGGCAGGAACAGCAGTGGGGAGAGTGAAAATTGGGGTGGGAGGGTGGGCACAGAGATGAGGTGGCTGGGAGTGAGGAGAGATGAAAAGGAAGCACCACAGAGTGGATTTATTCAGTGTGGGGTTGTTAGGGATGTTTTATTAAAAATTTAGGCTGAATAGCTTGAACTTCCAGGCACCTCCTGCTAACAATAACTGCAGTTACCCCTGGCTGGTGGAACAATCCTTTTGGGGAAGGACATCAATTCAGCTTTCTCTTGATCCCTGCTCTCCAGTCCCAAAAGCAAGGGAAGCAGGAACAGATGAGGAAGAGCCATCCCCGTATTTTATTGTATGGCTTTTACAGAAGGGAAAGGGCTTTTCTCCAGTCTCACAAGGAAATGGGGTTGTTCAGAGGCAAAATTTTCATCAGGGTGCATCATTCACCTGTGGGGTCTGGATTTGGGGGAGCATTTCCTTCCTGGGGCTGGTCCATCACTGGAGATCATTGATGGAACATCCCTGGGACATTTCTGTGTGTGTGAACATCCCTGGGACATTTCTGTGTGTGTGTGAACATCCCTGGGACATTTCTGTGTGTGT